ACTCAAGCCCTTGTGTGTGTTTTTCCCTGTGTGCCTTTGTCTTGCAGCTGGTCTGCCTGCCCTCCAACTGGCGGGTCACCATCCTCCTCCTGGCCGTGGCCAATGCCTTCGTCTCTATCCTGGTGGAGGTGAGTGGCTAGCCCTAACCCTTTGGGGCAAAAGGCGGGGCTGCAGGTGGGACTGGCTGTGGGTGAGGCGTATTCAGGTTGAATGGTCGTCTAGTCAGGTGCTTCAGGTTTCTATACTCAGGAAGCAGGTGCAGGTTCTGAAGAGTTGGACTCGCCACACGTTCCCCATCGTGGTCCCTGTGAATCGCACATATACAAACAGTTCGGAACCTTCTAGAAAACTTATTAGACACTTTTAGGCAGTAGCCCCGCCCACTCTCCCCATAGAGTATATAGCCAGTGTTCTGGGAACGGGGACCGGGAGGCAGAGGGAGTTGCCGTTAGGCACAGTCACCTTCCCATTGGCTCTCAGTCTTCATACAGGCCATCCCCGAGTTACAAACATCCCACTCCTAGTTAAGAACATGGCTGAGAGAACAGGAAGTGAGAGGAGGAAGGAAGGGAGACCCACTCTGGGAAGAGTTCTTATTATTGGGGGGAAAGGGTCTCTTCAGAAGCTTTCTCTCCAATCCTTGTTTCCCAAAATCCCATGCTCACAGGGACAGAAAGTGAAGGGCCAGCTTCTGAAGGCAGCAAAGGAAGCCCCACGGGGGTGTTACCCCTTCCCTTTGCCATCCAAAGCTAATAGGCACATCTATTTAGCTGGAGTTACGCTTCAAACATGTCCCGGTTCCAACTTACAGACAAATTCAGCTTAAGAACAAACCTGCAGAACCTCTCTTGTTTGTAACCTGGGGGCGACCTGTATTTGCCTGAGGGCTGAGAAGGGTGGTATACAATTACAGTGAATAATAAATAAATACCCCCCTGCTTTGAGGCTGTCCTGAGTCTCAGGGATGAGACTGCCTATTGCTTCTCAGGGATGAGAAGGGTGGGGTATAAATATAGGAAATAAATAAACTAAATAAATATTCTGACGGGACCGGCCTGGGAGCCTCACGGGGTTGTGCGGAATGTTAGCCCCAGAAACCACCTTTGGGGAAGGGAGGGAGGGAGGGGTGTGTGAGAGAGACCCGTCCTGAGTGACCTGCCATCTTCTTGGTCCCCCTCCCCTTCCTCCCCCTCCTTCTCCGGACCGCGCAGAGCCTCCTCCTGGAGACGCTCCTCTGGAGAGTCCTCTTCAGCCGGGACAAGCAAGGGGAGCACCGCCTAGCGCCCTCTTCCTCCTCCTCCTCCTCTTCCTCTTCCTCCTCTTCCTCTCACCCGCCACAGGTTGGAACGCTGTCTTTCTCTGCCTCTCCTTCTTGCAT